GGCGATTTAAAATGGAACTAATGTGCCAAAACTGTGAGCCAAGTGTTTGGCTCCAGCCTGCAACTTGGTTGCAGCACAGATCCATTGACTTATTCTGTTCTGAAAAGGTATACATACAGTTAAGAAAACAATTCTGACAAACTATCACATTTCCAAAACCTATATGCTGCTCTTTTTTTTGTTTTACTACTATTCATACAATTTTTTGCTAGTAAAGGACTATTTCTTTCCCAGTTCCCATATTCCTATGATCTCAAGTTATTCAATGTACATGGACGCTGCTAAATTAGGCCTGGACATCTAGGCATCTATGATCTGTAATCATGCGGGTTAAGGTGTATTTCCACCTTGAACATTTTTTTAAAATTTAATTCTGAATAGAGTGGGAAGGATTAGAGCCATCTCAGGTAATAAATTAGTGGTCTCCTATGGTTAGACAATTAATTTCATCTAAAATTAGAAAAAAGATTGAATGGTCCATCATGTCTGTCCCATTGTTTCTATTTATTTATATTGTTATTTTTTTGTTTAACTTATGTCTGAATATAGTTGAGCCAAACTGCACTGGGTTCAAAGAAGTTTAGATGCTGAACCCCTTGAAATTAATGGGAGCTGAATCTTCCAAATTAAAAATGTCAATTTTCTGGGCTAACAGGAAAAGGGGTGTAAAAAGTAGCATGGTGAGTGGGGGAGGGGGTGCTCGCTGCCCTGGGCAATGTGTACCAATGCAAAAAAAAATATATAAAAAAAAATAAATTCCACTAGGCTAGGGGTGGTGATTTTGCTTGTAGTGACACATTAAAAATGCCCAATTCCTTTAAAGAACATGCCCTGATTCTTTCCTTGAAGGGGTGATTCGGGTCTGGAGTCTTTAGGTATGAGGTCCCCCTAAAAATTCATACCAGACCCTTAGTGCAAGCATTCAATCTGGCTGGTTAGGAAAGGGAAGGGTGCATACTAAGGCACATTCCTGCAACATGGGGAGGTGCCTCCATGGCAAAGCACTCGAGGGCCTCTTCCCCAAAACCTGGGCGAGTGGTTGTTGGGGTCCTTGGGCAGGGTTCCCATTGGAAACTGGACATCCAGCGTGCATTCCAACTGGCATTGAGGAGTACGTGCACGCCGGCGGCTCCATAGCTGTCTCCTCCAGCCACCACGCTGCTCCAGCAGGACGCGGACTCAGTGGGAACCAATGACAGCCATTCCTTTCCGATGTTACACCTTACTACTACTATTACATGCCTGTATTTAACCACTTAAATGTGAGTGTTCCTACTTTTAAACTACAATAAAGTGTCATGCTGCACTTAGAGGCGCTTCTTCTCCTCTCATATGATTCACACAAAAATCAGGTCTGCTAATCATCAAGAATCACTTTCTTTGTTACCCTTGGCAACCACAGCTGCTGGTGAGTGTTCTTTATCTCCTGTAGATCAGTACTTTGCTATCAGTAACCACACTTTCCCTGCATGTAATCCTATTTTTCTATCAACAATACACGCTGGTCAGCACCATGCAACTGCTTGCAGGACTCCAGTATCCAAACCAAAAAGAGGTTTTCTCCTGCTCATTAAATCCTGCCACTATCCACTGCTGCCTCAACTGTTATCCAGTCAGTTCCAGATTCCATGTTGCCTGCTGATGAATTCCATTCCTTCAAGTTGCTTGCCGATGGGGTCCATTCCTTCTCCAAGTTGCCTGCCGATGGGGTCCATTCCTTCTCCAAGTTGCCTGCTGATGGGGTCCAGCCTGCCTCTATGCCTACTGATGGGGTCCAGCCTGCTGCTGGGGAGTTGCTGTTCTCTTCCAAGCCTGCTATTGGGGAGTTGCTGTTCTCTGCCAAGCCTGCCACTGGGGAGCTGCTGTTCTCTGCCAAGTCTGCCGCTGGGGAGCTGCTGTTCTCTGCCAAGCCTGACGCTGGGGAGCTGCTGTTCTCTGCCAAGCCTGACGCTGGGGAGCTGCTGTTCTCTGCCAAGCCTGCCGCTGGGGAGCTGCTGTTCTCTGTCAAGCCTGCCGCTGGGGAGCTGCTGTTCTCTGCCAAGCCTGCCGCTGGGGAGCTGCTGTTCTCTGCCAAGCCTGCCGCTGGGGAGCTGCTGTTCTCTGCCAAGCCTGCCGCTGGGGAGCTGCTGTTCTCTGCCAAGCCTGCCACTGGGGAGCTGCTGTTCTCAGCCAAGCCTGCCGCTGGAGAGCTGTTGTTCTCTTCCAAGCCTTCCGCTGGGGTGCTGCTGTTCTCTGCCAAGCCTTCCGCTGAGGAGCTGCTGTTCTCTGCCAAGGCTGCCGCTGGGGAGCTGTTGTTCTCTGCCAAGCCTGCCAATTTGGACCTGCTGTTCTCTGCCAAGCCTGCCGATGGGGAGTTGCTGTTCTCTGCCAAGCCTGTTTTTTAAGCATCTCAGAGCCTCAGTATGCATTTTAAGTCATCTTAATTCTGTAAGCAAGTGCTGAAGGAGGTAGTGTAGCAGTCAGTAAAAAAAAGGTAGTAGACCATCACAATATTTCATATGACACACAATTACCCTATAACCCTTATATAAAGTTCTTTAAATTGTGGAGTTTTTTTTCAGAACTACAGACAGCTGTCAGTTCATAGCTAAAGAGAAATGCTGGGATTTTTACCATCTAAGAAAAACTGAGTTACTTTCAGGACTGGCCAGGATGACCAAAAGCTCTGAGAGCCATAAATCTACACTATTAAGACAGCTAAAAAATTTTCTGCACAGTCTGAAAAGAGGATTTTTGACTATTAGCAATGATTCTGTAGTTTCCTCCTGTAAGTCTGAAGTCCATTCTTCTTGACTGGAAATGTAATAGGGGGTACATGGTCAGTATCAACAGCTATGAGTTATCTTTACTTGCAAACAGATTTTCTACAAATAAATTGCTTTACACCATTGTTGGACCTATATATAAGACAGGTAGCTATGGGATGGGTAGGGCAACCCAATTATTTCCAGAGGCTCCTTTATGGAGTCATCGTTACACAAAATTATACAGTCACCAGAACTGGAGTTTAGAGAAATCTTCCAAGTGGTGACAAATGTCTACAGGAATTCCCCTCACATTGTAGAGAGTTCCTCTTACTGTCGGTTGTATTTCCAAGTCAGGAAGTGAAGACAAATCTCCTCAATGGGAAACAGACAGCGAAAGCGAAAAACAACCTGACTAGGGTTAACTGACTGGGCTACTCTATACAAAACTAAAAATAATGGTTTGGGCTCTACATACCCTTTAATTTCAGCTTGAACTATTGAGCAATGACAAAATGTGAAAAGCAGTTAAAAGTTGGCCGTTTATGAAAATAAAAAATATGTATATGCAATATTTCATATTTAAAGAATTAATCTGAACTGGGCTATAATATGTTACTGAAATGGTACATTTTGTAATAATTGATAGTAGACTGGGTGTACGTTTTGGCAAGATTTCTCTTATTAATAAGAAACAAAGTTTTAAAATGTATTAACCTCCCTGCGGTATTCCATAGTGTAGCTCGGGGTAGTTTCAGTACCACAAGCGGTAACCCCGAGCTACACTCGGGCTTACCATGCGGCGCTGCTCCGCGATCCCTCGATCACTTACCTTGTCCTGCGTTCCCGCGATGTCCCTCCTGCAGTGTCCCCGGCAATGTAATCTGGTGGATGCCAGCATCTGTCATCTGGGTTCCGTCCCTTGCGACGTCGGGACGTACGGGGGACGGAATGGCGGGAAATTTGAAAATGACAAAAAGTGACATTCACTAAATTCACTAAAATCACATAGTAAAACATTACTGTATCAAACCATTTCACATACATTTTGTCCCGAGTGCTTTGTCCTGTGCCCTGCCTGCATTTTTACTGTTCTTTCTGCCTGGAAAGTGAGAAATGTCAATGGCGTCCAAAAAGCGTCCCTTTAGGTCAAAAGCGGTTTTAGACCAGCTAGAGAACAGTGATAGTAAATTAGAACTACTTGCAGAATTGAGTGATAATGATTTGTGGGGAAATTCGTCATCAGACACTGAAAACGATTTTGCGACTTTGCTCAGTGATGTGCGAACTTGGCGCTCTGTTTCAAATTTTAGTGTTTTTAGTTTGAATATATTATTTAATTAAATTTATAATAATAATAATAATAATAATCAATTTAATTAAATAATTAATTATCATAATTTATACGTATTGAAATCATAATAATATATTATAATAATAATTTATAATCATGAAATCATAAATGATAATTTATGATTTTGTGTTTCAAGTTTTATCCTACCCGGGATGTTTACTAGACTCTTGTTGGGACAAATTTCAGTGAGTTATTCCTAAAAATTACAGGCCTACAATAAAAAAAATACATATTTCCATGCAAACAAATGTACCGCTTTGTGCACAGAAATATGGACATAATCAGACCGCTAGGGAGGTTAAAGTAGTTACAAATAATCTGTACAATTGTACATGCCTAATATCATATCGATCTAAATTAATTTGATAATGTAATAATAAGAACAAAGAACATATGTACACATATATACACATTTATCCTACATGCTGTAATCAAATAGAAAAAAAAAAAATCAACTTTCTACAACCGGACATATTAAGAAAATGTAAATGGTCCGCCTATACAATGGTATATTCTATGTATTGTAATGTACAATCCTGCTCACTCTTAGTCTTTTGCACTGATTGGCACTTGAGGAATACAGACTAACACACAGAAGAAAAAATAAGAATCTACAAACCTCAAACAGCTTCATGTATAAAAGTGAAAAGTATTTTAAATCAGATTGCTAATGCACAAAGCTGCTACAGATGCAGATAAATAAAATATAGTCCACGGAACATCACCATGAGCAGGAAAGAATCTGCAATTACCTTTTCCAGACATCCATGCAATGGGTGCAATTAACTTGGACCACATTTTTATTTTTCTCAACACAAATGTCTTTTCAATTAAAGTTTTTACAAATTAAAAATTTTTCTCCATGTAGATCAACCATGGTCATCGGATGTCTTGGCTATGTCCTAGCTGCGAGGTATAGCACAGATCTTATGTGGTAAGGGGGCGTTGGTGAACCCCAGTGCAGGTGTGAGGTCCAACACAGCACCAAGAGGGGCCTGGAAGGTGAAGTTTTGCAGCAGTGTTGTAAAAAACAGGAACAGCTCCATCTTTGCCAACTTTTCTCCAGCACAACTTCTCTTCCCTAGTGAAGGAAAGAAAACATTACACATTTTGCTTAGTGCTAACATTTGTGAATACTGGTAAAGTGCAAGCTGCCAGAGTGATGCACCAGTGTGAAATGACATGAGGTATGCTGACCCCAAGTTCTCAAAACTGAGCCATTCCTGATTTATGCAATGCAGATGAGATCAGTGATGGAAGCTCCTGGATCTCCTTCCACCTTCCATCCTGAATGCCGCTCCAGGCTCAGGAGAAAGGTGAACCTAGGGACCACTGGCGATGGAGCTCTGGGAGGGGGAATAGGTTGCCACTTGGCAGAAAGTGGTTTGAATAAGCTACAAAATGTCTTCAACATTACAGAAAACATCCACTCGAAGGTGACTATTACTAGCTACCTTACAGGGTTGCGTTCTACCACACTGGAAAAGTCCTGAAATACTGTGAGACTTCTCTGATTTTTGTGAATGTACCTCACTGTTTCCTGACATGACACTACATCATCAATTACCTGATCCCAAGGAACATTACCTAGTGAGAAAGGTATAAATGCCTCATTCTTCTTTAAATTGCCTTCTGAATCGAGGAAATGTTCAGGATAAAACTCATCTGGTTTTTCAAAGTAAGCTTTATCTCTAAGAACAGAAGTCAGCAATGGGATGACAGTGGTCCCCTGTGGGAAAAACACAATAATTTCATTTATAAGTATCATGGTATAAGTACGATGCAACATATTTCTTGTAGAAAACCACTTTACATGTTTCTCATATTTTCTACCAAAAAAATGTCTTTCAAATATATCCATAGCTAAACCTTTTTCAGTGTTGGGTGGGGTACAGAAATATTAATTTTCTTTCAAGTATTTTTGTCCTGTCTTTGTCCTGTTGGGAGGATTTGTGTCTTATTTCTGCCATATCTCCAGAACAGAAAATGAACAAAAGAAAAACAGGACAGGAGCAAAGAGAAAATTACTCACTGGGGCCCTCCCAAACAGTTGCCACTGTAACAAGTGGCCTCATGTGGATAATTCCTCTCTTTTTGTTTCTGTAACAATGGTCAACATGACAATTGAAGAGCATGAATCTCAACAGTGGACACAAGTAGCAGTACAATATTGATTAAAGTTTTAAAACCCTATTCATCTTAGGGAAGCTGGCGACTGTGTGTTTGGAGATTTTATAACACTAACAATGAACTTCTCTTGTTTGTTCCTTTTATTATTATTACATCGAGTTTATATAGCGCCAAAGGGTTTGCTCAGCGCTGTACAATACAGGGGGGATAATACATGAAACAGTACAGCAACTACAAACAGCACACGAGGGGTTAGAGGGCCCTACTCTTTCGAGCTTACAATCTAGGAGGGAGGGGGGGTAGTGGCACAGGAGGAAGTGGCTGTGGGGGATGGAGTGGTAGGAGGAATGAAGGAGAACGGCTGTTAGGTGAGGGTGGGGTAGGCTTCCCTGAAGAGGTGGTTTTTCAGGGAGCGCCTGAAGGTGAGGAGGGAAGGTGACAGTCTGATGGATTGGGGTAGTGAGTTCCAGAGGATGGGGGAGGACCTAGAGAAGTCTTGAGGTCTTTAGGTCTACCATTTAGATTTGTTAATTGATAGCTTCATGTGTTCTCTACCTTTGCTGGTTGAACATATCCACCATTGGACAAACAGGGGGTTATTTACTAAAACTGGAGAGTGAAACATCTGGTGCAGCTCTGCATAGACACCAATCAGCTTCCAGGTTTTATTGTCAAAGCTTAATGAACAAGCTGAACTTAGAAGTGGAATGGCTACCATGCACAGATGCACCAGATTCTGTGTGTTCTAGTTTTAGTAAATCTAACCCAAAGTGTTTTACTGGCAGGATCACCAGGTGAAAATAAAGAAAGAAGCCTGAAGAAAGAAATGAATGCAGCCACATCTATAACAGCTAAGCTGCAAGTAACTACATAGTAGTTCTTTGGTTTGGATACGCACTGGATACCTTTGTTGCCATTGTGTTTTTTGCTGGGTGTCCAGTGCATCCCTTTACATTTAAGGAAGGAGGGGGGAGGGCTCCTTCTAGGCATAACTGAATACAAAGAAAGTGGTGTATTCAATTATGTTCTATCTAGGAATATAGTCAGGTAATGGCTGCCCCTTTTCTATAATTATAAGCAGGTAATGCGGGGGGCTTATCTTTATATAATTTTGTCCTTCTAGGCATACGTGCCCTTAATCTATCCCTTATTATATATGTGCTCCATTCAGGAATAGAGTTAGGACTGCAGTACACTGGGGTGCCATGACATGGCCGCTGCATCTTACGCAAGTATTTGCAAATGTGTGCAAATTAAACCCCTTGTTTTTAATGTGAACTGTTAAAAAGGGTCAATTTGGTTTGTTGCAGGCTGGTTGGTAAGTGAGCTGGGAATTTTTGTTTCATTTCATTTCCTGTTTTGTTTTGGGCTTGAATTACTTTTTCTTCTAATTCAATGGGTAAGTACAAATTACCTTCTTTAAAAATGTATTTAGAAATAAGAGAAAACTATTGCAGGTTTAAAGAAGAGGCTTCTAGAGGTAATAGCACATGCCTGCAAGAGCCTCTTAAACCCTTCTCTTACAATGAATCTCTGGACGTCTGATACTTCTTGTCTTCTGTATATTTCTATTGGCAAGTGAAGTAGTCCATCATAGTGATGGGTCATTAAGAATATGTAAGGGGTGGGAGGTAGAGAGTAAAACCTGGGTGACTGAGGCTGTTGCAGGTACTTATTTTATTAGCATACCAGAAGATCTGAGCTGAGAATTTATAATTATTGGTCTTTTTAAATTCCAAAAAGGTATAAAAATCAGAGTTCACATCATATTAGTACTTCAAAGATAAAACCACTCTTTCAAGCATAACAACATTTTGGGGCCTAGTCTAACTCTTTGTCTTTACATTACTACAGGCAGTCTCTGGGTTACAAACACAACAGGGTCTGTAGGTTTGTTCTTAAGTTTTATTTGTATGTAAGTTAGAACAGGTAGAGTTTTTAAGTGTAGCTCCAGCCAAAATAAATATTTTTACGTTTTTCTGGATTGCATAGGGATGGGTTATCAACCCTGTAATGTTTGTTTTAAAGCCTGTGCTCTTGTTCAGAAGATTCCATCTCTCTTTCTGTCTCTATGACAATTGGATTTTAAAAATGTTGGGTTGTCGTGGAATCATTGGTGATAAACCTTCAGTGGAGACAACTTTTTCCAATGATAACTCTTACTTGAGTGAATTTCCCTTCCTAGGGGTAGATTTGGTTTCACTTCTTGTTTCTCTCTCCATTCGTAAGTACGAGTCATTCGTTACTCAAATTTCATAACTCGGGGACTACCTGTAATGTGCTGTGAAATAGACTTTTATAAACTTTAAGATAAAAAGCAATAGCTATGTACTCATAAAAATAATTTGTAGGTGTAGTATCCTTCTGATCATTTCTTAAATTACAGATTTTCTATATTTTGTAGTTCCTAATAAGTGAAAGGAAATGTCTGCAGCTCCCCTTGAGTTGGGTCACCTCCTTGGCTATCCACAGATTAAATAAAAGAACCAGTAGCACACCATAGAATCCCTCATTGTGTTCCGGGAACAATAAACATGAAGCCCCACCTGGGACCTCATTGGAAGCATTTCACCTAAAGTTGGACTTAATTGTAGAGAAATCATTTACATAATTTGTAGGTGTGCAATTTTCTTCTTGTTTAAATGGCAATTTTTTTTTTAGAGGTCTTTATACCAAACTATTGAAATGCACATAGGGCAGTCCACTGTGCGGATGTGAGCCATAGTTGGCAGAGTTGAAAAATGTTTGATGGCAGTCTGCATGAAATGTTCAGAACTATAGCCTGCATATTAGATCCTTTATAGGGTCCAGGAAAGACATCACAGTCGTAGTGTCCACTGATGGAGAACCTTTAGGCTGTTGGTGGCACTGCTGTTTGTGGAACTTTAGGAAAGCTACATACAGTTTGTCAGAGATATGTACTTCTTGCCTAACACCCTACTGCACCCCTTGTCTACAGCATTGAACTGTCCAAGAAAAAAAGCACCAGTCAGTACCTAATTAAAGCTAACAAACTCTGCATTCTGATATCAGTTTGGCTTTCAGTCTATATAATACCCTTTGTAACCCCTGACCATTTTTTGGTAATTGGCTTTAGGAACCTTGTATGTACAGCCCAAACATTCTTTTTCTAGCTTAGGACAGAGGATGGAAAGGTTAGACCCCTATCAAGTTGTTTTTCACAGTCTGTGTCCTGCTGGGGAGAGTTTCCTTTAGTTCCTGTCTTAGAAACTCAACAGGAAGGGAGAGGAAATCCCCCCAAAGTAAAGAGATCTCTTACCTTAGACACCTGTCACCAGAATACTTAATCCAATTAAAAGATTTCCACTGGTGACAACACCCATTCACTCTACTGTATCTATGTAGTAGTATCCGGTTATTCTGACAGACATCTGGTGGGTAGATGTCAGTCTGGGGGAGTGGACATTCCTAGGAAGACTGCATTTGCTTCTAGACCACCCTGGATGACACCCACATGTGGTGCTGAGCCCCAATAACTTAAATCTAATAAATAAAAGGGACAGTAAGGTTGGAGAAGAAAGGGCAAGGTGATGCTGGATGTCCTCCAACCAGAAGATGAGGCAGGCTCTGTCTGACTTACTTCAATTTCTAAAGCACACTATGAGAAGTGCAATCTTTTGAACTGTGTTTTGACCACAATTTGGCTAACAATTTTGGCTTGTGGTGACCTTGACTCTTTATCTGATAATGCCGGCCTGATATCCAGGCTATGCTATCTGCTTTTGGATCTGACCTACTTACCCAACCTCAAACATCTGTCAGCTGTCTGTATTTTGGCCAATGTATGGTTGAAGATCTGCTTTATCCTACTAACTTGATCTGCTGTCATGCTGCTGTGCAATGGATGTACTAAAAGGGGCCCACAATCTATGTTCCTGGACATCAGATCCAGATCCCATGCCTTTTAAGTACACAGTGTATATTATACTCACCTTTGGAATGTTGTACCCTCTAAAGGTGACATCTTTAGCAGTTGCATGTGCCACACTCATAGGTACAATATCAGCAAATCTCTGGATTTCGTGAATGACGGCATCGGTATACGGCATCTGCTTCCTGTGCTCCGTTTGGGGTTCAGCCGATCCAATCACTCTGTCAATTTCATTTTGAACTTTTTCTGAAAAAAGACCCATATCAGCAAAAATGTATGAATAACACCAAAAGCAACTATATACATTAAAGAAAAAAAATGGTACTTTAGTACAACAATATCACCATTTTATACTGTTGCCGTTATCCACAAGGTGCACCTAAATGAAATACATATGAAGCAAGCAACAGAGCATTTGGCTAAAGCATGCTTAGTAAGCAAATACAAAACATACTTTTTTTTTCTTAAAGCAAACTATGCAAGGAAAATCAATCTCTTTAACTCTCTGCCTGAAAACTTTTTATTAGCATTCCACAGCATGATGCCCAATGCCAAGGATATGTTAACACACGTCCTCTTCTTGAGAGCAAACATCCTACATCTAGTGCAGCTGCTGGCCCTTAGTTCCAGCTTCTACTGACAGAGAGGGGCCAGTGAGAGTACTTCCCAATCACATGAATACTATGTCAGCTTTAGCATCATATGTAGGCTGGAGGCTTCACACCAAAAATTAAAGTCTACAGCCTGAAGAACATGCCCACCTCTTTAAAGAGACATCTGTTTAACCCCTAATGTTACCCTTACATCCTGCTACAGCTAATCAAACACATGCTTTGTATGATCTGTTGCTTCACTGGTTAGACCTTCCTGGTTCATAATTTAAGGGGGAGATCCACAAACAAAGGCTTGGTGGTCTTCCACTGCTCTCCATTCAGACACCTGTAATGGAGGCCCAGGATACATGGTGTGTTTGAAAGGTGAAGGGGGGTGCCACAATCCCATTTACAGCCACCTGAATCACATACAGCAGCCATGAGTTTGTTTATGTGCCTTTACTGCTCTCGCATTAGTTGCTGTAGCAAAATGAATAGAGTGACCCTGTTATGACAGCCCCAGTATTATGGGGCTGCCATAAATGGCCACTAAAAAAAAAATGTTTGTTTCCAGGTTGTGTCTGCCCTCAGTTTTTGAGTCACAGACCTGGAATATGCATGCTGTAAAACTAAACTCTAGGATAAGCAAATATTGTCCAAATACAGAAGGCACGTGTATTTTTGTGTATTCTTACTTTATTCTTGTTTTGCTTTGTGTATTTCTAACAGATCTGTGCAGTGATCAAGTGGAAAACTTGACCTCTGTGCAGGAGCTTCCTGTAAAAAGACCGGTCACTGCTACTCTGTCACGTACCTAGTGGTGGAGTCAGATGTGAGAAGGAAGGCCTCTCTTATAGCTCCAACTCAAGGGCCCCTGGCAGTGAGACAAAGGTCACAAAAGCACTGTGAGGTATGAGCAGCTGTAGCTTGTCCAGCAGACTGCGCAGGTAGATAGCTGGTGCTTCGCCAAAGATAAACCATATGGCAGAGACAGTACATAGCAGGTGGATATTAGCAGACTCTAGACTGGCAGACAGCAGACTGACAGAGGCTTGGCTGGCAGATGATAGATTACCAGTGCTGAGCAAGCTGGCAAGGACCAGGTAGGTAGAAAAACCAGTCAACAGATACTTGGCAGGTAGGATAAGAAAAGATGCAGAGTCAGGTACACCGGTCAGCAACAGGCAGTCAGACCAGGAATAAACGTTAGACAGAAGAGTAGTCGGGACAGAGGCCAAGGTCAGCAGTAGTAGAGTAGGTCAGGTTTGGCCGAACATGGAGGCAGAATCCAGAGAAAAGCCAAGGTCGAGGTAGGCAGTATTCAAGTGGGGTCAGAGACAAGCCACATCAGCGACAAGGAGTCAAGTACAGGAACTAGTAACAGGTTACATGGGAAATGCTGTAGACCGGACAACAATAGGCCAGTGCAACAGTCCATTTTAAAAGAGTCCATTTGGCAACAGTGTTAGTGACAAGTGCGCCCGGGCATGCACGTGCACATTCATACTGTGCAGACAACTGCTGTCTTGCACCTGCGCACCTATATTCACCTTAGAGAATCATCTGTACTATGGGCAAGCCTTTCCTGACATGCTCTCTCTCCCTGTGCAAGATGACTGGTCTTGTCACTGCCCCCACTTTTAGGTTTGTGCAGGCAGCCTATAGTGGATGGTTCCTGCTGGCTCTCTCCCACAGCTCCACTCTCTGTGAAGGCTTTGTGCAGCACAACAGTGATGTCACTACTACATTTATAAAGTTATTATCAGGAATACCACAGCCATCCAGCAAGGATGACCAGATCAGTGGGCTGTACCTTAGGAGATCTGGAAGAAAACTGAGTAAGACTTCATGTACACGAGTAGCTCCTAAACTTGAGTTTTGGAGCTTTTGGCATTTATTTTGCCAAAGCTGGCGGAAGAATCACATTCAGGATAGGAATGTTTTTGACCGCCAAATGTGGGAAAACACAAAATGAGGCAAAAACGTGGTACCATGGTTGCCTCGGTTTTTCCACGATTTGCGTTTTCCTGCTGTCGAAGGTCAGGGTAGGCGCGTGTACATGAAGCCTTATGTTGATGAAGTTTATTAACATGAATCTCACTCTTACAATACCAACACCAATAAACCATAAACAATGTAAAATGACAAAATAAACTTGAAATTGTAGCAAACTAAATGATAACCTAACTATATACAAATGGAGGGAGCACATACAAGCAGGGCAAGATCAGGACTTAGGGCTCGTTCACACTTGACTGTTTTATCAACGCTTGCCAAATGCCCCTATAGCGTTTGGCAAGCGCTGGTCCGGCGTTTGTGGAGCACTTTTTAACGCTCGGAAAACGCTCCGCAAACGCCGCATGCACGGTTCAGCGGTGGTTGCTAGGCATTTGCCGAGCGTTACAAACGCCCCACAAACACCTATAATGAAGTTCAAATGGTGTTACCGCTCCACAAACACCCCGCAACTGCGTCACAACCGCGCCACAAATGCCGGCTAGGCATTTGCAGAGTGACGCCATAGACTAGAATAGGAGGCTTCAACACCTCGTGACACAACCAGAGGCGTCCGTTTTCCTGCGATACGACGCTAATGCTCCCGTTAGAACAGCACCATGTGCTGCAATGTGCAGAATTGTCCAAGGCATTTGGGAAGCGGTAAAAAACGCTTCCCAAATGCCTCTCAGCTGCCTGCACACAACGCTAGTGTGAACGTAGCCTAAGGCAGGAAACAAGAGGAGTAGGGAGCAAGGTACCGGGAGAGCTAGATGCAGGGTACAGGGAGCAAGTCACCCTCTTGTGACCACAGTGCCACCAGCAGGTGACCCAGATAATGGCACAAGTTCTGACAGTAATACTGGGTTTGTCAAGACATTTGGTGCACACAAACTTGATATATGTCTTGTATGGTTATTAAGGAATATTTTTAAATACAAGTTTTTGTAACCAGAGTTCACCTTTAAATGCCACAGCTCAAAGTTGTTTCAGATAGAATGGTTAGCGTTGATTGCCTCTATGATATTTTCTATGATGGGAATGTCACTAGAGGCAAAAAATACAATAAAATCCAGACTGTATCACAGATTGTAATTTGACACATCTTGAATTCTTTTTTCTTACTTTGTATTTCTGGGTATTTGATCATTAGTAGGAGGCCCCATCGCAGAGTGGTGGATGTTGTCTCCATTCCAGCACCAAAAAGATCACTCACCAGCACGCTTAAGTTGTCATTGTGGAAGTACAAAGTAGATTCTGGCTTCCCCTGCCCAACAGAAATGGGGGATGAAAAATGAATGGAAAATCAATACCCTATCTTAAAAAAGTCAAAATCCCATAACATCACATTGTCATAGTCAAGGCTGAAGTTACCATGAAACCCTCATCGGCTATTGTCTAGGAGCAGGATTAGAGAGGACATCAAAATGCCTCAAAGTTTACAAATTATGATGACTTTTTTGTTCCCTGGTATGTCTGCTTCTGGACATTTGTCACTAAAGTAGAATTATAGGCAAACTGGTGTCTCCCTGGCAGCATACCTGTGAGAAGCTTTGCCTTGAGCTCCTCCCTCAGGACCAGTGAAAACTATAAAAAGAACAGTTAAAGATAACCCCAGCATTCTCCATTTTTTTCCTCATACCTCATGGTTAGTGCATGAAAGATGAACATCCTTACCTCTGCCCTGAGCAACTTCCACCTGGGTTCAGCCTCTCCCAGACTCAGTCCCTACTCTTGGGCTGCTAAATGCGCTGTTAAGATAGGGAGTCCCTTCTGTGGGTCTCTTGGAACTGCAGATGTCTCCTAACTTGGAACATGTTTTTCTATCAAGTTTTTGTAACATTCGCAGAACCTAGAGCAGCATTATCTCTTAATCCTTTCTTGCTTTCCTCTCCACCACTATATCTCTATTCAAGTTCTAGTGTTTTTTTCCTTCATGTACCCTTTTTTTCTCCTCTCCGATCCCCCTTTCCTTTTGTTCGATTCCAGCTCACCTGTTTGTTGTTGGCACCCACTTATCGGCATCTTTTGCAATCGTTTACCCTACTTGTGTGTTTGTTCCGTGCTTGTGCCGGCATCTAGAACTTGTCAGTGTTGCGGCCGGGCAATCGGTCCTAGTTCCACCATTTGGCGCATGCACGGTGCAGCTGGAAGCTGTGGTGCCCACTTCTTCAACAGCTTTTGCAATCCCTTGCTCTTCTTATGTGTTTATTCTGCGCTTGCGCCGGTGTTTGGATCTCATCGCTGATGCGGTCTGGGCAATCGGTCCAAGTACCACAGTTTGGTGCATGTACGCCATAGCTGGAAGCCACGGCAGACACCTTTTGTTATGAGCAAATCAGCCATTATTTTACCCTTTCCATTTTCATTTACATTTTTTTTCATGGAAGGGGTGGATATTTTGTTCATATTTCACCACTTTCCCTTATATATATTCCCTGGGGCTTTAGTATTGCGCCCTTCTATCCTGGTGGAGGTTGCCTTTGCTGAGAGCTCCTCAAATCTGTTTGCAGAAATCCAGCCTCCCTGCATGCCTACTTATTTTCTCTCTTTTTTCATGATTTTTAACCCTTGATCTCTCTTTAAGAGAGGTAAGGACCTTCAGTTAGGTACTGTAAGTACTTAATAAAAAATGAGTGTGCTAACACTAGTACATTTTTGTTCCAGCCCTGTATGCCAGAAGAAGTAAAAAAAGATATCAGGGCGACATGAAGAGTCCAACAAAGACAGTCCAGTCCATGATCTATTGTCTAGGTCTAGACACAGATTGAGCGGAGGGCAAGCTTCTGCAATAAAAACAGTGTTCTATGCATTTCCCAAGCCAAAGGCCCAAGAAATGTTGGTCATCACAGCTACCTCTTTGCCAGACAAATTACTTTGTAAGAATTTCTTCAGGGACAATGCCGCAGAAAGAGAAACAGAAGGTGAACAGATGGCTGATTTGCTCAATAAAGTAGTGAAGGATTCGCTTTCTGAGTTAGTAGCAGCGTTTCCTTCGCAATAGTCATCTCAACTTCCTTAACCACCCTAGCGGTCTGATTATGTCCATATTTCTGTGCTCAAAGCAGTACATTTTTTTTGCATGGAAATATGTATTTTTTTTTATTGTAGGCCTGTAATTTTTAGGAATAACTCACTGAAATCTGTTCAAACAAGAGTCTAGTAAACATTCCGGGTATGTTGCAATTTGAAACACGAAATCATAAATTATAATTTAATAAATAATCATAAAAATAATAATATAATAATAATAATACATTTAATTCAATAATGTAATCAAACCAAAAACACTGAAATTTGAAATTCGCACATCACTGAGCTTAGTTGCAAAATCCTCTTCAGTGTCTGATGAGGAATTTCCCCACGAATCATTATCACTCAATTCTGCAAGTGGTTCTGATTTACTATCGCTGTTCTCTAGCTGGTCTAAAACTGGTTTTGACCTAAAGGGACGCTTTTTGGACGCCATGGACGTTTCTCAGTTTCCAGGCAGAAAGAACAGTCAAAATGCAGGCAGGGCACAGGACAAAGCACTAAGGACAAAATGTATGTGAAATGGTTTGATACAGTAATGTTTTACTATGTGATTTTAGTGATTTTAGTGAATGTCACTTTTTTTCATTTTCAAATTTCCCACCGTTCCGTCCCCCATACGTCCGACGCTCGTAGGGGACGGAACCCAAATGACAAATGCTGGCATCCGCCAGAGGACATTACAGGGGACACTGCAGGAGTGCAGGACAAGGTAAGAGTAGAAGAGATCGCGGAGCAGCGCCGCATGGTATTCCCGAGTGTAGCTCGGGGTTACCGCTTGTGGTACAGAAACTTTACCCCGAGCTACACTCTGGAATACCGCCAGGGAGGTTAAGAGGCTGTAAGGGATTTAGCACTTCCAGGTCCATCCACTAGCGAGCTATCTCACCCATCAGCTGAGCACCCATCTTTGCAGTCAGGCAATAACGACTTATCAGAAGACTCAAGCAGAACAGAAACAATAGGATTACATTTTTCTCTAGAAAGAGATGGAAGTCCCTCCAAACAGTTACTTCCTGTTTCTTAAAAAAATAATTTTATTTTTTCCTGGATGGAATCAGGATCTCTTACCCTAGGTTCACATCTGTGTGGGTGGTGCCGCTGCAGATCCGCACCAAAATCTGTGCAGCCGCACCATCTGCACAGAGAAATGCAGACCGCTGGCACGCTGCCCGCACTGGAAAACGCAACCGTACTGGGAACTGGGTTTCTGTGTGGGCTGTGTTTTCAGAAGACGTGCAGGGACTTCTTTCCCTGTGTGTCACGGGCACAGGAGTCCATTCATATGAACGCTGCACACAGTAATGGCAATGTGGGCTAACCCTTCTGAATCCATACAGATTCTAAAAACAAACTATGTCTACGAACAGTTACTAGCTATTAGGAAGAATAAGGTCTCTAGATTCAATCATCAATGGAAACCTTGGGTGAGCTGGACCTATAGAAATAGAGTTGAAGATGTATAAATGCAATATGGTTATACTGTAATCATCATTCTATTTGTGCTTGTAATTATGATTACTACTTATGCTTTCATGCAGCATTGACCATATTTCTTACTTTATTATTTTTTTTTCTTTTTTCTACTTTTTTGGATGACGATCTGTGTTACAATGTACAATTATTGTTCTCGGTTTTTTTTTTCCCATTTTTTTACTGTGCAGAATGGTGTGCTCAAAAAGATCTGTATAAATATATACGTTGTATGGACCATATAGTTCTCTGGTCTAAAATTGTACCTTCTTCCTTGTAACGTATAAAAATCCTAATAAAAAATTATTGAGAAAAAAAAATACAGCTAAACATTGCTTAATAAGGCAAACTAGTCATGTGGTTTTATACAAATTTATAGATGCATATGGACCCTGCTAAATTTGGCGTGGATATTTAACTATCCATGCCCATTTATGAAAGTGATAACGATATCCAAGTAGTAGATCAATTTGTTAATTAACAGCTTCCCAGCTGCCCTATAACAGAAATACTGCTACAGGGCTGCCGGGCTGCGCAAAATCATGTCTATATAGGTGAATTTGCATTTCCAGGTAGGGGGCACGCATACCACCCTACCCGTACCATCATTGGCGGCTACAGCTGTTGATCACCAGCACCCGGCGATCGCCAAGGAACATATATATAAAAAAATATATATATACCTCCATTTGTAGACTTTATTACTTCCATGTAAACCAATAAATTTACACAAATTGGGATTTTTGTTTAGGAAAGACATGTTGCAGAATACATTTTTTGCCTAAATTCATGAAGAAATTTGATTTTTACATTTTTTACTGGAGATGTTTTAAGTCAAAAATACAGGTTTTTTTTCAAAATTGTTCTTTTTTTGTTTACAGCACAAAAAATAAAAAAAATGCAGAGGCCATCAAATATCGCTAGAAAAAAAACTCCATTTGTAGGAAAAGTAATGCAGCGCTGTATTGCAATAAATGGCCAAAGGGGGGTAAATCCTCTGGAGGGCAAGTGGTTAAATGACAATTAATATTAATTGATTAAACAGAACTTGTACCTCTTGCTGTTTTGCCAGAAACGCATCGATAAAGTTCCTTTGGTCATTTATGTCCAGTGTTTTCTTCTGTTTGGTAAATACCTCCCTTATAAAAGTATATGTGTATTCAATATTTTGAAAAACTTTCTGATGGCTGCCAGGGAGTAAGTCTAGCAGTCTTGGAAACACGTTGTAAAGCTTAAGAAAAAAACAAAACAAAACAATGAATTTCTCTCTTAAAATTCAATTTATGTAAATGTATTATTAATGTACAGGACTAAAGAATTGCTCAATTTTGGGCTTTATTTTTCATCCAAAAAAATAACAACATTGACTGCATTAGATGGGATCATAAAGGGCAGCAGCAGACTTTTATTTAAAAACATGAAAAACCATAAACAAAATAAAATAAGGCCCTGTTCCTACTTGAGCATTTTTCAGCTCAAAGCTTGATGCTCAGAAACGCTCAACAAGGAAAATCCCATTCATTTCAATGCCCCCTGTTCACATTTGATCGTTTTGTTGCTAGCAATACACCTGCCACTCAAAAAAGTACATGTGCTACTTTTCAGACAGATTTAAGAGTTTTTGTCTGCATAGACAGGAATGAAAAACACCTGAATGGCAATAAATGAGCATTTTTTTAGCGTTTTCTTTTTTTCAGGAGTTTTAAGCTCAAACAGCAGCTTCCCTCCCCTTTTCTAGCATCACTACACAACTTATAAAACACACATCTTGTTATCAAAATGGGGGAGAGACTTCTTCTGAAAGCTGAGACATTCATTGCTCTCATTTGTGGCCACCCCTGCATCTCTGAGCCCAGGGAGCCCGGTAAGAACCACCAGAGCATGGGAGGAAGTGGCACGAAACTTACTGCTCCCCAAAGCAAGGAGAAAGGTACAAAACATCTGTGTACAGCAGCCATGGCCTGATTCTGGTTGTCCTATTGTATGTCCCTGGTACACATCTGCACAGCTTTCTATTGGCCAAAGAAAAAATGCCTAAATGAATAACGCCTATAACAATTGCAAATCTGCAAAAAAAAAAAAGCTCAAAAATCCCTGAAAAAAAACAAAAACGTGAAAAAATGCCTGAAAACGCTTAGCACAGTCTGAATGTAGCCCAAACGATTTGGGAAATGTTACCAAATAGAAGTCTTTGAGTGTCCATAACGTACAAGAATTGAACTAGATCCTCATCCTCAGTCACACCATACCTGCTCAAGGATGTTATCAAACCTGTGCATTACTCTCCCTCAGGGTACCTAGCTCCTGGAAAAACCCATGAACCAAAATTGGCCCAAGTATTGAAACAGACTCCCAAAGGCAACGTAACCACCAAGCTGCTGTGTCAATCATCCTTTCAACCAACCCCACCTTTTAGCCATTATAAACACCTGAAATGAGAGTGGGACGGTGGTGAAAAAATGTCCTATTTTGCCCAAACATTCTGGTCTAAGGTCCCAGCATTTTCTACAAGATCTACCCTTGTGGCTCCTCTGTCTATCTGAACTTCAACCACCTCTACCTTCCTTAATTTAACCTCTCATCGTAAAAATTTCCAGAAACTTCCTTCCATCTTCCATTCACTAATGCAAACCCTCCATCAATTGTTCTTTTCCCCAACATGCTCCTTTTATCACACACTTCATGTTTGCCTGCAAGAGAAAAGACCCCCAAATTGCAATTTTTTTTGCACTACTTAAATTCACAAGCCCAATTTGAATTCACGTTTTTCTCAAAAATGGCAAAAGGGAATAGTTTTTTGTTGGGGTGGAGAGCATGGTCCCAACACAATCTCTGTACTGCTATTTCATAAAGTATACAAAGTGAGACTATGCCTTCCACTTACCTCTACATTCTTGTTGAGCTCTGTCAACCCCTCCACTAGAAATTTAACGGAAGGTAGTGCAGAGGCAATGCACTCTCCCTTCTTTCGAGGTATCTATCCCCTGCTAGGTAAAGGCATAATGTGCTAGTATGCATTGCATACTAGCACATTATGAAGGACTTACCTTGAAACGAAGCCCTCCAGGGGAGCGCTATCATGGCTCCCTGGGGCATCCATCTTCACTCGGTCTTCCTTCCAGGTTCACGAGCTCTGGCTGGCTGACTGGCTGAGCCATGAGCCCACACATGTGCACAGGAGTTCCAGGTAGGAGGGTAGCGTACACATGTTATCCTAAATTTATGAAGACATCTTATTTTTTTTTTATTATTGGATGTGTTTTTGCAGCGGAATATAAAAATGTGTTTTTTTCAAAATATTCTGTCTTTTTTTCATTTACATATTAAAAATATAAAACCCAGTGGTAATCAAACATCACCAAAAGAAAGCTTTACTTGTGTGAAAAAATGATAAAAATATTCATATGGGTAGAGTGTTGCATGACTGTGCAATTGCCAGTTAAAGTAGCACAGTGCTGAATAGCAAACAATTGGCCTCGTCATGAAGGGGGTAAAACCTTCCAGAGCTTACGTGGATATATACAGTATAAGTAATCAACCACCCACTAAACATCTATTGGGGGGAAGTCAACCTAACAGGTTATAAAAATCTATGCCAATTGTACCAACTGTTGCCTTGAACAAGACAAGCTGAGCATTGATTTTATGTGTCCCAAAGGGTACAGAGGTACTGGTCATCTGGATCAATTGTGTGTATAGAATTATAACTTTTTTTTTTATGGTTGAACTGGATGGATTTTTGTCTTTATTCAGACAGACTAACTATGTAACTATGTAACTTCAGGCTGCCCTCTAGTATTATGGATAATCTAATCTTTAGAAAAATGTTCTAACATGGCCTGATGTTTTGTAAAGTCAATGAAACATTAATCCAGGAACATTTGTACAGATGAAATAAGGCTCAGCCTTTCAATAGATGGTTGCACTTACCATAATCATAACATTTCCAAAGCTCTTGATATTTTCATGAATTATACCCATGAGTTTCAGAATGATTGGATCATCATATTCAAATCTTTCACCCATTAATATTGACACAATTATGTTAGCTACAGCAGGGTTGATGATGGTCATATTTTCAAAGGGTTCCCCTTAAATAGAGAAGAGATAAAGATTTGAAATTACTAGATTTATGTAAATTCCAGACAATTAGTTTTTTAAGGCTAAGTTTACTTTTTTTTCTTTTTTTAAATAAAATCCAGTCCTCCTATGCACCATTATACACTGCTCAAAAAAATAAAGGAACACTTTCTAATCAGAGTATAGCATCAAGTAAATTAAACTCATGGGATATTGATCTGGTCAGTTAAGTAGCAGAGGGGGTTGTTAATCAGTTTCAGCTGCTTTGGTATGAATTAAATTAACAACAGGTGCACTAGATTGGTAACAATGAGATGACCCCCAAAACAGGAATGGTTTTACAAATTGAAGCCATAGACATTTTTTTTTTCCGTACTTATCTTTTCTGACTGTTTTTCACTAGTTTTGTATTTAGCTAGGGTCAGTGTCACTACTGGTAGCATGAGGTGATACCTGGACCCTACAGATGTTGCACAGGTAGTCCAACTCCTCCAGGATGGCACATCAATACGCGCCATTGCCAGAAGGTTTGCTGTGTCTCCCAGCACAGTCTCAAGAGCATGGAGGAGATTCCAGGGACAGGCAGTTACTCTAGGAAAGATGGACAGGGCCGTACAAGGTCCTTAACCCATCAGCAGGACCGATATCTGCTCCTTTTTGTAAGGAGGAACAGGATGAGCACTGCCAGAGTCTTACAAAATGACTTCCAGTAGGTGTAGTGATCCTGGGTTCCTCCTGGTGCACAACAATGCCCGGCCTCATGTGGCGAGAGTATTCAAGCAGTTCCTGGAGGATGAAGGAATTGATACCATTGAATGGCCCTCACACTTACCTGACCTAAATCCAATAGAACACCTCTGGGATATCATGTTTCAGTAAATCCAACGCTGCCAAGTTGCACCTCAGACTATCCAGGAACTCAGTGATGCCCTGGTCCACATCTGGGAGGAAATACCCCAGAACACCATCCTTCATCTCAATAAGAGCATGCCCCAATGTTGTCAGGCATGCATACAAGCATGTGGGGGGCCATACAAACTACTGAGTACCATTTTGACTTGCTGCAATGATATTTTAGCAAAATGGACTAGCCTGCTGCATCATTTTTTCACTTTGATTTTCAGGATGTCTTTGAATTCAGCTGATCATTTTCATTTACATCAAAACGATGGGGCATCCTTATGTACCTAACACATTCCCCAGTCCATATCAGTATAGATATCCAGCATGAGATTTTTCCCCATTGAGATCTGACATGTTTTCAAAGTGTTCCTTTAATTTTTTTTGAGCAGTGTACCATTAATGTACCTCACTTGCAAAAATATACAAGCTCTCTTTGATCTGGAAAGAAAGGCCTTACCTTAGCCTTTGGCTTTTTAGAAAGCTTTTTCAATTCTTGGAATGTAGACAGAGGACAGAGGTGCCAGTAGGACCCTGGAAGCAGATTACCAGCTGATCTCATTAGCACACACATCCTGCACTGACCTCAGTAGTACACATCCTTCACCCATCAACTATTTTTTTTACAGCATCCCCAGGATCTCTCCCCATGTGCATTTGCCTGGCTACCCTAGCGTCTCTTCAGCCGGGCTCAGGCTGAGTGATTGGCTAGATGCTGTCTCCTCCTATTATATAGTTTGGGTAAATCTAACGGAGATTGTACAATCAGATTGTATAGTGTATTGCCACCTTTATACACCTAAAATTACCTAGTTGGCTTTCAGTATAATTAATTGTTTACAGTACACCAAACACAGAAGCAGATGTTTTGCCAATGTAGCAAAACGTGCAGAGAATAAGGTGCAACACGCATCACACCAAAATTACTATGATTGATGTGATTGGTCATAGCAATCACATAATACAGGGCTGCTGGATGTGCACTCAGTAAGGATTCAGGAGGACATTATAATATACCCTTTTGAATTCAGGACACTCCCACTCAACCGTTTTTATATAGTGACTGGATGGAAAGCACTTAATGCACATAAACTGCACAAATAAATGCAGCAATACACCATTAGCCACAACTATAACTGAATGACGGCTACAGAGCGATTGTCCAGCTCTGGGATCGGCAAGCACCCGGCTTTGTCTGTGATTGCTGTGTCCTATGGACACAACTGATCACATGACAAGGTAAAAGGGCAATCACAGCAGCCTTTTACCATGTAATCAGCTATGTCCAATGACACAGCTGATCACAAAGTAAATACAGTTGCTGGTTATTGGCAGCACTTTCATCATGCAGCCCCAAATGTGCCCAGCTGTGATGCCCATCAGTGCCCAGCAGTTATACCAAAATCCAAATGGACCGCACATATAAACATGTGCATATATTCCAAACATTTGACATACAGCATAAGTGCCATTCATAAAGTCCCAAAATAGTGAAACACGTGCATGTGCTTGTGCTCAGCTTAATTAAAGTGTTTTGATTCTTCATTCATCTCCAAGTGCTCCACTGTGCTCAACAAGGTGCCCCACATGGACTAAAACTCACCCTTAGCCAATGACCATCTATTTCTAGAGTGGTCTGTAATTCTTGTGGGGCATTCCCCAATGGACCAGTTGTCTCCAGAAAAATTTAGATAAGCGAGTCGCCAAAAAAAAGCAAAGAAAGAGGACATGCCCTAGTATAAAACCGTGTGGCATTTTATTGGGGGTTAAATGTATTAAAAGCTCACTCACAAACAAAGTGCTTGTGCCCGGCACCTGGTGTACTCAGCCTTATTCCTCCTATTGTTTGGTAGCCGCTGTACTAGTTACTCCTCAGAGTGGCGTGCGTTCCATGACATTGACAGAAGTTGCATCATCAAACCTCGACATGTTTTGGTCAGAGATCGTCTTCAGGAAGTGCACCCCAAGTGTGGCAAACACACCAAAAACTGCGATAACGCACTGTGCGCTACTCCAAAAAAGTTCTGGAGCTTTTCTGGGGTGACTGTTGCATGTATGGCAGTCAGTGCAGCATCATCAGTGCCTCCTCATCAATTCCCACCTGTGCCTCCTCATCAGTGCAGCCTATGAGTGCCCAAGCGTGCTGCCTATCAGTGCAGCCTCATCAACGCACATCAGTATAGGACAAACATTTACCTGTTTGCAAAATTTTATAATAGAAAAACAAAGAGAACTTTTTTTTTTAATGTTTTGGCAATTTTTTTTGTTTATAGCTCAAAAAAAAAACCAGTGGCGATTAAATACCACCAAAAGAAATCTCTATTTGTGGCAAAAAAAATAAAAAATGGGTACAGTGTCGCATGACTGCGCAATTGTCATTCAAGAGTGCTGAAAGTTGAAAATTGGCCTGGACAGGAAGGGGGTAAAAGTGCCCTATAGGCAATTGGTTAAAGCTGAAAAAAAAAAAATTAGGCCATTTGCTGTATACAAGTAAATGACCTCCTGATCACATGACAAGGTATGGCTGCTGCTCCATTTACTATAACTATTACTTTCATTCAGCTCCCACAGTACTTTATGCTCTGAATATATACTGTAGCATTAAGACTTGTAGTTCTGGCTGCAATACACTGATCATACCAGGTTGCTCATTGTACAACTCCTTTGTTCAGAACAATCCTTCTGTAATCAGAGGGGGGGAGATTGTGACTCTGCCTCCAATCGCAGAAATCCTTGCATGCAGTGAAAAAAATACCTCTTTTTTTTCTGAATGGTAAAGGTGAATGTCACGGTGTGCCTGCAGAAGCTTCCCCCCACCCCCCTCCTAGTGCCTGTGTCCTGTGTCACTACGCCCTCCCTCCCTTCACATCCTGTCATGGCCCTTTCAAGCCAGGCTGCACAGGATGAGAAGTGTTACTTCTCACACCCTGCCGCGGTTCTCTTGAAAATGAAGATGACCCCCTGTGGCGAGATTCACGCCTCTCCTGGCCATACGGCCCGGAAAGGGCCGCCGGCTTGATGCCACGTTCCCCCCCGGCGGGTGCGGCACGGGCACAAGGCTTCCCGCGCCTGCACCCGCTGGAGACAAAGGCCGCGCTCTCGAGTGCACGACCCGTGTCAAGGGGGCTTGCCTTGCCTGGGCAACGAGGCACGCCACCTGACATTGCAAGGACAACCATGAGCGTCCTGCAAAGCCTTAAGAAGGCTGATGCAGGGCTCTCCTGGTTGTTCTGTCCGCTGCCAGCTGCTGGGAGGTCTACGCTGAGGCGAGACCCCCGCAGCCACTCTGCAATATTTATTTATTTATTTCAGGTACTTATATAGCGCCGTCAATTTATACAGCACTTTTACATATATATTGTACATTCACATCAGTCCCTAACCCTCAAGGGGTGTACAATCTAAGGTCCCTAAGTCACATTCATACATACACATGCTAAGGACAAAATATGAAAAAGTGCAGCGCTAATAAACAATATGTCTTTACTGGATCTGAGGCTGACCACAACCTCAAATAGACAGTATGAAGTCCAAAGAAACAATGTGCAATAATAGTGAAAGTGGATGAACACTAACCAGCTGGATAGTTATGTTTTGGCATCACCCCTTTTTGAGAATGCACTTTGTGTGCGAAACGCGTTAAACAGGAGCCACACACGCCTGAGACGTCACGCCACCGGATCAAGAAGGTCCGGTCGCCTCCATAACTATCCAGATGGTTAGTGTTCTGAACAGTTTTGAATGGTTTTGCTGTATGCCTTATATATACTTGATTGGCGAAGGCCTCCAAGTTCTTTTTTATGTATGTTCACTACTTTGAATTATTAATAAAAATCTGAGATTTTGACCTACTACACTATAGCCACTATTCTCTGCTCCACATCGAGCATTTAATCCCCCAGGACCCTATGGTGACCACCCTGAGGCCCAGAGGAGAGTGACTCATGTGTGCTGACCCCCACCGCAGCTTCCACCAGTAGAGAAGACCTCTAAAGGCGCCAGTATTGTGGGAAAGCCTACCCAGTGTGAGCTGCATCTTCCATAGGACAAAAGGGGACCTCTGGCTTATATTATTGCCTTTTCATATCGCGCATCTGGTGAGTGAGCATTTCCTATATTTCCTGCATGGTTTTTAGTGAGTGCCTCACTGGGAGTAATGAAGTCACCATTTCATCCACTTGTCACTATTATTGGACATTGTTTCTTTGGACTTCATACTGTCTATTTGAGGTTGTGGTCAGCCTCAGATCCAGTATAGACATATTGTTTATTAACGCTGCACTTTTTCATATTTTGTATGCTTGAGAGGTTATATGGTTTCCTTTTAGTGTATCAGCTGCTTATGTTATTATTGCTTTAGCGCTTGCTGAACCACTTTTACTCTACATGCTAAGGACAATTTAGATAGGAGCCAATTAACCTACCAGCATGTCTTTGGAGTGTGGGAGGAAACCAGAGTACACAGAGGAAACCCACGCAGGCACAGGGAGAACATGCAAACTCCAGGCAGGTGGTGCCGTGGTTGGGATTCAAACCAACGACCCTAGTACTGCCAGGCGGAAGTGCTAACCATTTAGCCACTGTGCTGCCCGATACACCAGGGAATAGAGGATTATTACCTGCTGAGCACTCTACAATACACCAGGGGATAGATTGTAAGCTCGTAAGAGTAGGGCCCTCTTACCCCTCGTACGTTGTTTGTTGTTGTTGTACTGTGCCATGTATTGTCCCCCCCTATTGTACAGCGCTGAGCAAACCCTTTGGCGCTATATAAACTCGTAGTAATAATAATAATAATAATAATAATTACCCGCTGAGTACTCGGCAATACACCAGGGAGATTGGAGACTATCACCCGCTGAACACTCTGCTAATACTCGGGGCTCTGGAGGATTACCTGCTGCTATACTGACAAATACTGCGGGGCCAGGATTGCTTGTGCTGCTGTGTGCTGGAGTATCAGGACTAGTGCCTGCTGTGTGGACCCTCTGCTGTGTGCTGAGAAGGGTCGCCCCATCTGCTGTCATCTGCTGTGAGCCAGGACATCCCTGTTGGAACTGTGAGTGTCTGCACCCCTGTTTTTATCCCTCTATGGACTGTCCATGAACTCTCCCCCCTTACGCTTCCCTGTCTGGATTACAATTTACCAGAGACTCCAACCTTGCCCCCCGGGGCCGGATTACAATTGTTTTGGGCCCCCATCCCTGCTCTTCCCCTGCACCGAGTACTGGGACGCTACCTTCAGACCCCAATTGAGTGACTGTCATCTTTCAATAAAGCTTTGTGTGTTTATCACCTGCTCTGTGTGTTCTGTCCTGCCTACGCTCCGTCATAGTGAACAATGAGCAACCTGGCATGAGTAGTGCACTACAACTGAAACGACAAGTACTGGCACCAAATGTTCGTCTCTTGCAGTACTGTGGAGGCTGAAGGAAAGTAAAACGTTTTACTGAATGGAGCAGCAGCCAAACATGGGACAGGTTTCAGATTCTTTTTAGGTTTTTAAGCTTTTTTTAATTGATTTTTAATCAATCAAAAGGTATGAATGCAAATCAGAGCTTCTGGACCAGCTCAAGATAATACAATAACAATCACATAAAACAAAAATAGTGAACAAGTAGAACTACAGTTAAACATGTCCTTGCTACTCATAGAGCATACAGTCTGCCATGAAGACTAATCAAAATGGAGGAGTAGTTTGTCCTGAAATACCTTGTCCCCTCCCCCGCTGTCCAAAAACACAGTAAACCATGGGGCAAAACAGCACATTAGCAACCTATACAAGGAAAGGGGATATAATTGGAATTATTCGAGTTAGAGACCAAAAATAGGCAATCATTAGGATAGACTGGCAGTGTTGATCTACAGTAGTAGTATTTGAGTCCAGCCAGATATCCCATACCTTGTGGAATGTTTTTTTGGGCAGCCTCAAGACACATAGTGTACGTCTCCTTGTAAAGGGGTATAGCAGAATTCAATAGTGATTTCCATAATTCCAGGGTGGGAGCAGTTCCTGACTTCTACTGAATAACGATGGATTTTTTAACATAAAACAATCATACCCCAACAGCATAAAAACAGTCTTGGTGGAGGCCAGAGCTCCTCCAGACCAAGAAGCCATATATCTGCCTGGTCTGGGATAGCAGTTAACTGTGTAACAAATTGGAGAACCATTGACCAGAAAGTTTGGAGGTGTGAGCTGTATTAAATCACATGGAAATGATCAGCTGTCTCCACTTGGCAATACCATCAATGTGGAGGAGAATTCAGATAAATCCTATGGAGTCTGTGGGGCATCAGATAGAACCTTTGCAAGATTTTAAACTGGACCAGCTGATCCCTGGAAGACACATTTTGGGATAATGAGTATTCCCAAATGTCCTCTCAATCCTTGCCATGCAGCTCCAGCAGCTCTGCCAGCCAAGAAGACCTTAGTTTGTCTAGACCATGATACACATTAGGCTGCAAGGCCTTGTAGGTAGTTACATAGTTACATAGTTAGTCTGGCTGAAAAAATACAAAAGTGCATCCAGTTCAACCATAAAATTGTAGTTGATAGAGGTTTCTCAAGAGACTCATCCTGAAGGAGTAATTCCATGTCAAACAGTGGTCCATTCAGAGGGGAACTGCCAAATTGCGTGCAAAAGGCACGGTGCAGCTGAAGAAAACAGAAGAAGTAGGAATTGAGTACGCTAAACTACTGTTTGAGGGTTGATTGGAGAGCTTTTTAAATGTAACTTCAATGATGAACTTGAGAAAAAAGAAACTGAAGGAAAATCTCCCCACTGGGGAACAGATTAGGAGTGGGACTTTACTGGGATTACAAAGGACTGGTATACCGGTATATACTCACCTTTGTAGGATCTGAATTCTTGCATTAAACATTGTGCTTCCTCTTGAATTTTATTTTCTATAGATCTCTTTCCCATTCCAAAATCCCGTAATGTGGAAAGTGTAAACCTCCTCATTATCTTCCAGTTCTCTCCATTGGCACAAATTATTCCTGTAAGAATTTACATTTTTAACAATTAATTTAGGATAGGCAACTTTTAGTTCTCTTTACTGAATTACTTTATAAGTCACTAAGTATCCTTTATTTTAATTGCACATACCCTAATAAACTGTTAACTCTATGATTGTAAATTTCTCCATCTTTTGTATCCCTTAACCTCCCTAGCGGTCTGAATATGTCCATATTTCTGTGCTCAAAGTGGTACTTTTTTTGCATGGAAATATGTATTTTTTTTATTGTAGGCCTGTAATTTTTAGGAATAACTCACTGAAATCTGTCTGAACAAGAGTCTAGTAAACATCCCAGGTAGGATAAAACTTGAAACACGAAATCATAAATTATAATTTAATACATAATCATAAAAATAATAATATAATAATACTAAATGTAATTCAGTAATATAATCAAACCAAAAACACTGAAATTTGAAATATAGCGCCAAGTTCGCACATCACTGAGCAAAGTCGCAAAATCGTGTCTGATGACGAATTTCCCCACGAATCATTATCACTCAATTCTGCAAGTGATTCTAATTTACTATCACTGTTCTCTAGCTGATCTAAAACCGCTTTTGACCTAAAAGGACGCTTTTTGGACACCATGGACATTTCTCAGTTTCCAGGCAGAAAGAACAGTAAAAATGCAGGCAGGGCACAGGACAAAGCACTCGGGACAAAATGTATGTGAAATGGTTTGATACAGTAATGTTTTACTATGTGATTTTAGTGATTTTAGTAAATGTCACTTTTTGTCATTTTCAAATTTCTCGCCGTTCCGTCCCCCATACATCCCGACGCTCGCAGGGGACGGATCCCAGGTGACAGATGCCGGCATCCGCCAGATTACATTGCCGGGGACACTGCAGGAGGGACATGCAGGACAAGGTAAGAGATCGAGGGATCAGTGAGCAGCGCCACATGGTAAGGGGTTACCGCTTGTGGTACTGAAACTTTCCCCGAGCTACACTCAGGAATACCGCCAGGGAGGTTAAAGCTCAAAAGACTGTAAGCTCCTCCATTTTCTATAATAAAACATAGTTAACCCCCCCAAAAAATGCTATATGTTGCATTTTACCGGTCCTTAGATGTGGTAGCAGCATTGGTTTTATTCATGCTTTTTCCCTTTATGTTCAATTGAGGATTCTGCCAGTAACACACTTCCTGTCTTAGGGTGACAATGCTTACTCACTGTACTGTATCTATAGAGAAGAAGTGTTGTCACCTGCAAAAGAGTACTGGAAAAGATAATAACATTGTTAGAGATTTCAATTTATCGTACAGGAAGTTACGAGGACACTGAATTTCTAGAAGGTATTTTTCTGTATGCAAAAAAAAAAGAAGGGAAAACTGAAGTAGCCACCGCATCTAAGAACTAGTAAATTAAAATATATTAAATTTTCTTTGGTTTGTAATTTATTTTAATTACCATTTATCCTAACAGATTGTAAGTAATCAATTGTAAGCTTTGCCACGTTCCTTATTACTGCCTTGTATCATAATAGATACTAAGCTCATTGACCTTCTCTATTAGTGCCTTATACCCTAATAAACTGTAAGCTGTTTCAACTTCTGTATTGCTCTCTTACACCCCAATAGACCACAGTCTCTTCTGAAACAAATTTTAAGCTGTTCCATCTTTGTACATAGTTATATAGTTAGTCTGGCTGAAGAAAGACAAACGTCTATCTAGTTCAACCATAAGAAAAAGTTATAATCCTATACCCACAGTTGATCCAGAGGAAGGCATAAAAACCCAGCAAAGCATGATCCAATTTGCTCCTGCGGGGAAAAACTTCCTTCCTGATCCCCCGAGAGGCAATCAGATATTCCCTGGATACACTTTACCTATAAATGTTAGTAACCAGCTATATTCTGTGTATCCAAGAAATAATCCAGGCTTTTTTTAAAGCAAACCACTGAGCTTGCCAGAACCAACTCTTGAGGGAGTCTATTCCACATTTTCACAGCTCTTACTGTGAAGAAACCTTTCCATATTTGGAGATTAAATTTCTTTTCCTCCAGATGTAAAGCGTGTCCCCTTGTCCTCTGTGATGACCTCAAGGTGAATAACTCTACACCGAGTTCACTATATGAACCACTAAATGTATTTATACATGTTGATCATATCCCCCCTTAATCTCCTCTTCTCAAGAGAGAATAAATTCAGTTCCTCTAATCTTTCCTCATAGCTGAGCTCCTCCATGCCTCTTATCAGTTTGGTTGCCCTTCTCTGTACTTTCTCCAGTTCCCCAATGTTCTTTTTGTGAATTGGTGCCCAAACTGAACTGCATATTCCAGATGAGGTCTTACTAATGATTTGTACCGGGGTAATATGATATCTCTCTCTCTGGAGTCTATACCTCTTTTAATACAAGAGAGGATTTTGCTCGCTTTAGAAACCGCAGCTTGGCATTGCATGCCATTATTAAGCTTGTGATCTACACCCAGATCCTTCCCCACCATTGATTCCCCCAGTTGTACCCCCCTAGTATGTATGATGCATGCATATTCTTAGCCCCCAAGTGCAGAACCTTACATTTATCAACATTAAACCTCATTTGCCACATGGTTGCCCAATTACACAGTGCATTGAGGTCGGCTTGTAAATTGTAGAAATGCTGTAAGGACGTTATTCCAATGCATAGCTTGGTGTCATCTGCAAAGACTGAAATGGGATTTTTAATCCCAGACCCTATATCCTTTATATATATATTAAAAAGTAATGGTCACAACACTGAACCTTGGGGTACACCACTGACAACCCTAGACCATTCAGAGTATGAATCATTAACCACTACTCTCTGAATACCATCTTTTAGCCAGTTTTCTATCCATTTACATACAGATTTTTCCAAGCCTGTAGACTTTGCCTTACACATTAGCAGTGTATGGGGAACTGTGTCAATAGCTTTTGCAAAATCCAAGTATACCACGTCCACCGCCACCCCTCTGTCCAAGTATACTACATCCACCGCCACCCCTCTGTCCAAGTATACCACGTCCACAACCACCCCTCTGTCCAAGGTTTTGCTTACCTCCTCATAAAAAGAAATTTGATTTGTTTGGTAACTTCTGCCTTTTATGAATCCATGCTTTCTGTTGCTTAAAATATTTTTTAGCAGCAAGAACTCATCTATGTGGTCTTTTATTAAACTCTCCAGTATCTTCCCAACTATAGAAGTTAAACTAACAGGACTATAATTACTTGGTAAAAATTTTGATCCCTTTTTAAATATAGGCGCCGCATTGGCCTTAGACCAATCCAGTGGTACTATGCCATTCATTAAAGAGTCCCTAAAAATTAGAAACAATGGCTTTGAAATGACAGAGCTCAATTCTTTAAGGACCCGTGGGTGTATGCCATCCAGGCTTTATTCACCTTTATTCTGTCTAAATATTTCTGGATCATATCAATTGTGAGCCAATGTGAATCATCTGGACCTGTGTCAATACCGTGCTTATTATGTACAAGAGCTCCCCCATGCTCCTTTGTATACACAGAGCTGAAGAAGGTATTTAATAAATTTGCCTTCTCTCTCACCAGTCACCCACTCTAGATGTATCTGTAAAGGGCCTACATGCTCGGACCGGACCTTTTTACTATTAATATATTTGAAGAATTTTTTGGGGTTGGTCCTGCTATCTTTTGCCATCTGTCATTCGTTTTCAATTTTTGCAGCTTTTTTTTCCTTTATGCATATTCTGTTCTATTCTTTGTAATGTTTAAACAATGATAGTGTTCCTTCGTTTATATATTTAATAAAAGCTATTTTCTTATTATTCATAGCTTTTTTAACTTTGGCCATAAGCCACATAGGTTTAGTTTTTAGCCTTTTAAACTTGTTGTCCATGGGCATATACCATAATAGAGTGTAATATCTCCCCCCTTCTGTATTACTTCAATAAACCATAATAGACTGTAAGCCCTTCCTCTGTCTGTACTCCACCCTTAAAGTGGAATTAAAGTAAGCAGTACTTAACTCTCCTTCAATGGCCTAGTGGCGGCATCTTCTACCCAGATTCTTTTAGGTGCCATATTCATTGGATCTGTACTGGGATGGGCCAGGTGCACAAGATCTGTGCTGGAATGTGCTGCTTTATTATCCTAATCGATAATAAGATCTTCAACCTTTATATCTCCCTAAGATATCATTTACTGTTTCACATGGAGAGTAAAATAATGTGGTTAATTTACTAAAGGCAAATAGGCTATCCACTTTTCAAGGGAAGTTACACTTTGCAAGGGTATTTTCCCTAGTGAATGTGGAGAAATTTCACTTTGCAAAGAATGCCCAATCATGTGCACGGCAAATTTAAAAAAACAGCATTTTTGTCTGCATGTGATTGAATGATGGAAATCAGGAGAACTTAACCTCATTCACTGAGTTCTAGGGACAATTCCCTTGCAAAGTGCAATGTGCTTTGCAAATAAAAAGTCTATTGGACTTTAGTAAATCAGCCCCAATGTTAACTCTTTCAGAAAAATGTTAAATACGTTGGAAAGCAAACCAATGTTTCTAACTTTTGTCCCACCAAATGACTATTATCACTTATTTTTTGCTACATTACAAGTGCCATTCTAGAGTGTTTAAAAACTTCACAAAGCTTTGGTCCAAATCCAACTGGCCTTGAAGAACTAATCAGACTTAGTGGATTCTGGAGCAAGTGGAGGGACCTGTTAAGGAAAATTTCCCAAGCAGAGTGAATGAGTGACATAAAGTAATAAAAACCCGACAGAGGCTCAACCTCATCACAATATTACCTAAAATGGAATTGAAAGTTTTGGCTTGAGCTGAGCTTTAGCTGCCTATGCAACATAATATAACTTTTCTGGATAGTTCTATTATGAATGGAGTTCTTTCTGATATGTAACACATGCAGTTCATCTGCTTATTTTAAAACTGTAAGGATTCATTTTAAAACATTCTATGATTTACCATTTCCATGTGCTATTCTAGCAGTCAGTGGATTATCTGGTCTTTCATAAAATTCTTCGGCATGGTTAATAAGTGCATCTTTCACAGTGTCATAACCACATAGGATAACCATCTTCTCCATGGCCAACTGGATGCTAAATACAGAGCCGTACTTCTCAGACAGCTATGAAAACAATCCAACAAAACAAATTAGATATACAGAAACAATCATGGAAACTATAATACGTATATGTTGTTAGGTACCCATAGGGGGATTTCAATAGAGGCAGAAGTCAGGTCTTAAAGAGTTACTAAACCCAGGCCCCTGCATCCACTATATCTGGTCTCCCGCAGTACACAGAACATGGAAGTGCAATTATTTTAGTAAATATAAACTGTTAAATACCTTTTCTCATCAGAAGTGAGAACAGTGTTGTGACTTCTATCAGTATCCAGCCAAGCACTAGCTAAAGCTTTTAGGAGTTTTCTTTCTGCTCTAGGAGGATAAAAATCCCCTGACCTCTGTCTGGACAGTGCTGATTGTCCCTGTGCTGATCATATGCACTCTCCCAAGAAAAACAAAAAAACCTCTCTAGCAATACACACCAAATTGAGCATGTGCATGCCTACAATTTAGTCTAGAGATAAGTAGGGGAGGAACAGAGAAGAAAGGATTAAACAGCCTTTTTATACAATGCAGAAGATTAACCCCTTAGGTTCCACAGTGAGTATAACAAGTATGCTTTACTGAATATATATACTGATTTTACTGTTTTGGGTTTAGTAACACTTTAAACTCAAAAATTGTGCCGAGTTTTCTCCTTAAAATACTAATATCCCCAAACTCATATGTGTCATCAAATTACCACACAACTGTGTATATAATCTATTCAATATGATAAAAAATTTACATTAAATTCCAAAAAATATTTTAAACCAATAAAAGTCCCATAAATAGTGTAGTCCTTTTAGTAGTAGTAGTATTATTTTAAAGAGCAGAAAATAATGAAGGCAACTGAACTGGAAACAAAGGGAAGACAGAACAGCAGCAGCAGAGACTGATACTGATTGTCCTCAATGACTGAATTCACATGGTCAGTAAAATTGATTATTTGCTGGTCTGCCTTGACCATTGATAAAAACCTCCTAAATGTTAGATCCAATTTATTGTACTGGGCCAAATTGCTCAGTACACATGTAGAAGGTCAGTGGGCTGTGCAGTGTAATATAGCAATCTGTACTCTATATGAAACTTTCAGAAAGCAGATGGCCATTTAAATCTATAGCTTTCCTATGGGTAGAAACAATGCCTAAGGAACAAGGTTTCTGTGTGCATCTTGCCTAAAGGTGAGCAGCATTGATCCTGAACCCTCATCCAATTTTTTCAGCAGGTAGTGGAGGTTAGGAAAGAGTTTTAGTTTATTTTGGCTTAGGACCAAAAATACCAGTCTAAGACCTAGAGGCCTCCAAGTTTGAAGACCTAGTGCAATTAAACCGCTTTGAAAACTGGACTTAGACAAGTTTGGACAACTTTTTGCCAGTTCAGTGTTCAGCTGCCAACTACACAATGTCTACCTGGAGTGCGTACTAAGCATTTTTATATACCATAGTCATACTGGTATTTTTGTGGCTGTGCTGTTGTGCAATTTACTCTACAATCGTCATAGTACTGCCTTCAACTAAAACACCACCGATGTGGATTAGAATTCAACTAATTTGACAACACGCTTTTGTATTTTCAGTTTCTTCCACCACAATCCATATTTTTTCCTTTTTCCATTTGTCAGTTGCTTCCACCACAATCTGTATGTTTTCCATTTACTTTTCCATTTACAAAAATAGCAGAGCAATTGTTTTATTACCTTCATAAGGGCATAGTGAGGTTTTTTTGTTTCAATCAAATGCAAGCTTCCAATTAATGGTAGAGGCTTTGGCCCTGGAGGGTAGTTTTTGTACTTTTGTTGTTTTTTGTCATTATAAGTTTTGATCAAAAACAAGATGAATATGATGGACAGAAGAATTGTCACAGGATCCATGGCAGATGTGTATTCAAGTCTAGAGATCATAGAAAATCAACATAAATATTTAACACAACGAATAGCGTATTATAATACACAAAAAATAGTTTACTTGTTTGCATGTAAACAACCAAAAATATGTTTTGGTTAGGACAGAGCAGAGAAAAATTAGAACCCTTTTATATTTTATATGCTGTAAGTATCCCATTGATGAGATTCTTCTGCCTAGATATTAAGGTAATTTCCAGCCATTTTTTTTGTTTTGGATAGACCAGGGAAGAATTGCTGCTTTTGTCAGGTTTTTGTTGTTAGGACAGATAGAGATAGAAAATATCCAATAGGGATGGAGACAAACATAAAATAAAACTTTTTTTTTGTAAAGTGAGACTTGGTCAGAACTTCTCACAATATTTTTTTATTGATATCTTTGCTGGCTTGTCAAGATGACAACTACACCACATTTCTTGCACAGGTGTCACTGAAACCTTAAACAGAGTTGTTTTTATCCACATTGAGGTAATTTACCCTAATCTGTCTGACACCAGCCATTGGGTGGGGAAGTGAGGTGAAATCCTGACAAGGGTTTTAACCCTTCTGCACGCTACTAGAAAATGTGATTTTATTAGTACCTATGTCCCTATTAGAGGGTTTTCTCTCCTGTTCTTTCCAACAGATAAACCATAGACTAGAAATAAAAAGGAATCTCCTAAATGCTGACAAATGCAGTAGATAGTTAGCAAAAGTTAACAGAAGATTTAGCGCTTTCTGACTCTACCTTAAACTTTAATATTGGACCCCTGGTTAACGTGTCTGTTTCCGTAAAGGGTTTTAAAAAGGGGTTAGCTTTTAGATTATATTTTTACATATCTGATCAATGTGCGATTGTTAGCATATACTTGCTTTTGAGGTCAATTATATGTGAGGCAATAGTTTTATGGAAAGGCACTAAATATTTAATACTGGTGAACAAAAGCAAACAAGGGCGCACTCTCATCGTGCATTACCGTGGTATACCATAAATTTAATCAAAATCATAAAGATGTATACCCACAAACCAAAGAGGATAAAAACAGAGCAGATGTATCCGTAATGTCAGACCAATGGAATAATAAACCCTTCTAGGAATAGGCTAACGAGTTTCAGGAGTCGGACTCACTTCATCAAAGCTTTGATGAAGAGAGTCCGGCTCCTGAAACACATTAGCCTATTCCTATAAGGGTCTATTATTTCATTGGTCTGACATTACGGATACAACTTCTCTGTTTTTATCCTCTTTGGTTTGTGAGTATACATCTTTATGATTTTTTATTAAATTCGTGGTATACCATGGTAATGCACGATGAGAGTGATCCCTTGTTTGCTTTTGTTAACCAGTATCAAGATTTCCCGATCTTTGAAGGGCTGCACCTCAACGTCAGATATTCAATATTTCTCCTAGTCTGCATGAAGATTTGAGCACTGGTTTTGTTTGTACTTTCGGTTTACTAAATAATTAATGACAGATAACAATAAATAGCCAACAGGGTCTTAGCAAAGAATGAGCTCAGGTTTGGTGTAACTTAAATAAGTAAATAAGTAAGTAAATAGCAAACCTGGAAGGAGGCTGTGACTCCTGCCCACTGTCTCCCAATCAACTGCAGCTAACGCATTCTCAGTTCTGCAGCTGTATGTACACAAAGAGGAAGGAATGCTGGTGACATCATTGACCTGATATGGCTCCATTTGGAGCAAACCCAAGCTCATTGCACGTCACAGGGGTTGATTTTCCAAAGGCAAATAGACTGTGCACTTTACATTTCGCTTGCAAAGAATACCAAATCACATGCAAGAAAAAGAGAAAAAAAACAGCATTTTTGGTTGCACATGATTGGATGATTGAAGTGAACAAAGTGTCTGCTCATTTACTAAGCTCTGGAGCAACTGCTCTTGTAGAGTGCAACTGCACTTTGCAAAGTACACAGCTTATTTGCATTAGTAAATCAACCCCTTAGCTTTTTATAGCAGTACACCAATCAGAGGGGGACCCACAGTCAGTGACACATGCAGGGCATTATATAGATACCTGCCCATTCAGACCTGTAATTCCAACATCTGGCATGGGGAAGTCCACCAACTTCCTTAAAAGATAATGTCATGTGACTAAATGCTCAGAGCCACAATGGAAGCTGATGCTGGAAGATGTGGAAGGGTGTATCACCATACACCTTCAGGAACACCTACCTTTCGCCTTGCCCACAAATCAGTGAGGCACCAAGGCACGCTTTGGGGGGGATTTACTAAAAATGGAGCACACAGAATCTGATGCAGCTGTTTATAGTAACTAATAGGCTTCCAACTTCAGCTTGTTCAATTAAGCTTTGACAATAAAACTTAGAAGCTGATTAGTTACTATGCAAATCAGCACCAAAATCTATGTGCTCCAGTTTTAGTAAATTCCCCCTTTGTGTGATACACTTTCTTAAGCCCACATTTCCCTGCCAAGACTTGACCACTTAATGTATTTCCTCCTCAAGCCAAAGGCTCCCAGTTTTCCCTTGCATAAGGATTCTCTCTTTGCCCCTATAACTCCATGACCAATAACTGTATTGACAAAGGCATTTTTCTGCTAGTAAAATCTCAAGCATCCAATTCAATGGGAATAATTAAAAGTTTTAGTAATGCCTTCTAAGGTTTTTTTTTTCTAGATGTATTTAGAGACATTTTTTTCTCATTACATTAGCAAGATATTGTGGTCCCCATTTACAAATTGAACATGGTAGATCAACGTTTCTCACCCAAGGTTCTGTAGAATACTAGGGTTCCATCACAGGTTGCCAGGGATTCCTTGACCAAGGAGCAATGTCTTCCTCTCAGATATGTTCCCAGTGACACCAATGATCTTTTTAGCTATTCATTAGAGGAGAATTTCTACCAATCACCACAATCTTAAGTATTAAGCATTTTTCCCTATGACTATCATACAAATGTAGCTCTGGTTTATGTTTTTATCTGCTGTGCAGCCTGGCAAAAGGAAAAATACTTCTGGGAGGCCGACTGAAACAATGGGGGATATAGCCCCCAGGGATCATCTTTTATAAAGCCAAGTACCTGATGGAACTACAATTACTACAGTAAGCTGTAGTTATGGGAATTAGTAGCATGGGTTCCCTGAGACCATAACATTTTCAAAGGTTTATACAAGTTCAGAGGGTTAAGGAAGACTGTGGTAGATCAACCAGCAATTTATTCAGAATATAAGTAAGAATCTGCAAAATTATTGCTAATATCGTTCATCTCGAGAGACCCATATTCTATGATCTGTGTCTTGATTACCACCAGGCTTCATAATAGTTTTTGCAACCCTGAGATATACGGCTGTTGAATTCCAGAGGGAGGGGGTGAGGGTTTATAAAGACGTAGACTGGGCAGGGTGTGTCTCTAATTTGTAGTGTGTTTGTTGTGTGTTTTATATAGTTGTGTTTGTTTTAGTATGTAACATTGCATGTTTTATGTAGGATGCAGGATGGGACTATATCTGTATTTCATTTTATGATTTTTTTTATTATAGAATGATAATTAATACATTCTTTATTCTTGAATCTTACATGGGGAAACCCGGGAAGTGCTCTCAGTTTAGAAGCTGCTTGCAAAGATTGTCATTGTCATGTTATTGCAATTCTACGATGTCTGTTTCCAGTTGAAGCTTGGTTTTCTCCTATAAAACTGGTGTCCTTTAAAGCTTTAAACACTACAGTCTCTGTCTGCATGACCGGTTTTCCCTCCCATTTCCTCCTCCCCCCTAGCCACTTTACAAATCTACAGTACTACATGACATAGTAAGATAGAAGAAAGCAACTACAGCAAACACAACATTACCCAAATATCCATCTGTAACATAGAAACCCTCCCTAGCTGAGTTACAGATTACAACTAAAACATATCTTCTAGGTGAAGATAGTCATAGTACATCCATATTTGACAGTGTTACATGTCTATGTACAAGTTGAATAGAAAACACACAAAAATAAATAAAAGCAACAATTTTAGAGATTCTAACCTTCACTGCTGGTGTTCTGGAAACAGGTTGGTATCTTCTTATGTCCTTATCTGCTATTCTGCTTTGTACACCAGTGTATGGAGCTTTACAGAGTCTGTTGATATCTTCACAAATTCCACGGCTACGCCTCCTCTCCTCCCCTGCTGCAATAAACACACACCATGCTATATAGTGTCCTCAGAGACAGGAAGATAGCCATGCAGAATATTGGTTAATGTTCCATTCTTTTTTTACTGCATTTTTATTTAACCTTTCAAACTGTAAATGTTAAAATCTGATAAAAGTTATAAGAAAACAGTGTTTCTCTATATCTGCAAGGTGTGCAATGTCAGATATATATATATATATATATATATATATATATGGTTTTTTTTTTTTTATGGTGAATGTGTTTTTATTGTTCTCTTTTCTTAGTTGAAATCTATAGTTGTATATATAATAACGTGAATATTTATGAAGGGATGGGCGCTGCTCAACCAACCCCAGGAGTCCAATATTGAGGAATGGCCTCAGCCACCATTCTACATTTCACCCCGCCCACCAAAGCATGGTCACAGAGGTCATCAGAGTGAGTGGCCAGAACGGTGGCTGAGGCCATTCCTCAATATTGGACTCCTAGGCTCGGTTGAGCAGCATCCATCTCTTCTCTTGTATTGGCTGACACTGGAGTCACTTGGTCTCATTCTCCCCTCTTCTCACTTGCCAGTGGGGTGACCCTTTTCCTTCCATCCATAGCTTGGAGTGGCACCATAAGGTATACTTTTTCACTATGTGAATATTTGTATTGTTGCCTATAAGCATAAAAGAACTTATTCCAAGTTTAAGTGGAATTAAAACTTAAAGTGATAATAAAGCTTCCATTTTTTTTCAATTAAAATAACAACCATTTTATACTTACCTGCTATGAGTAATGGTTTTGCGCAGAACAGGCCTGATCCTCCTCTTCACCTGCTGGTGTTCTGGGCTCCTCCTCTTCTCCGTG